CGGTAAAGCACGGTAGATCGAGTACGTGTACCAGTGGCCGTGTGACGCGCCGCGGCGGCAAGTGGAGAGCGGCAGATGGTTGGACGAACGGAAGGACGGCTGGCTGGCTGACTGGCGACGGGCGACGGGCGACAGGCGGCGAGTGGCGTGCGTGAGCAACGAGTACGGTGATCAACGCCGTCGAAAAGTCATTAGTCCGTAACCCATAGCGAAAACAAATACAGCCAGTGTCGCGGCTCACACGGGACTGGTTGTGCTAAGACTAGATCAAAGCCAAATAAAGAAACGGTGTAAAAAACAACGCTGTCGCTTTTTTCGTCGGCGCTCACCAGAAGGAGAATGACGAGGAGGGAGGCGCAGAAGACGAGTGATCGGACTTCAATGAGTGATTGACTGCAACAAGTCGTTCCTTGTCGTCGGCCGATCAGCTGTTGATCGCGACGGTGAGGACGGTCGGTCGCGCACAAATGACAACGACCACCATACGATAAATACCGGCCCGGCGGAATGAGTTCGACGACTTTCGTCGATGACAGGCGCACGACGGCGACGGAAAATAAGGCAAGGCAGCTTAGGCGAAAAACGCGACCTACACTGGACTTACCTGCGGAGACTGACCGACCAGCCGATCAACGGACACTCACGACTGACCTACACCTGTGGCTAACGGCGACGCTGACAAAATTGATGTCAGCCGTTCTTTGTCTTCGTCAATCAGTTAACGCTCAACGCTTAACCTCATGCTTGAAACCAGTTGGAGCTTTTTTATCCATTCAGTAATAGTGGCCTCATTTTTGCTGCTGCTTCCGTTTAATGTTCTTTTGTTAACTTCCATTTTCGCCATCCATGCTACCAACACCCATGTATCAAATTTCCATTAATAGCGTGGCTATCATTTGCAATATTACCTTTTCCGATGAACAAGCTACCTGCGTGTTTGAGCCGGTTTTCACCGGTTTCGAAACCCAAAATCGACCGAAATAGTGCACGGAGTGGTTTCAGTTACGTCATTGATTAAATTTCAAATTTTCTGCGTCCTGGACTATGTTCAATTGAGCGCTTATTGCTTGACAATATGAATGGCGACAGCTATTGATAGGGTCATTATAGTAATTCTAGAAGCCGTAGTAATCGACGACGTCACGTGCTGCACCTTTAGTACCAAGCACGAACATTGTTGGTCTTCAATTGCTGACAGTTGCTTACAACGTGATCAGTTTATCTGCCCAGCACTCGGACAATCACCTACTTACCTTCCTTTTGTAAATCTGATGCTAGTGATAGAATTGATCAGATTGATATCAGGCAATGTTCACTGTTGCGGCTAAGACTATATTCCTCTTCGCCAATATGTCCGCCTCTGCGATTTGTTTTCATGTATTGCATTTTTCTCCTATGCGTCTATGGTCTATTGGCCGTTCCCACGGGTGGAAAATTCGGGAAAGATCAGTACTGTACTCTTCTAAGGCTATTTTATCGAATCAGTCCAGGCGCTGATCTCTGAGTCTACCTGCTGATGGCTTTTCAGACCGCTGCTTGTAAGCATATAGTCGTTAATTACCCCGTGACATTATTGTACTTTGAAGATATAGCGCGGACAGCGTTGGTTAAATTTTTAATTGTATAGCAACTGAACGGCCTTGGCTACTTTTCAGAATACTCACTAAGCTGATATGTAAATAGAACTCTAGAGTATTTCGTTCGTGTATTGGCGATCACACCGAAAACCAGCGTAAAAGACGCAGATCAATAAACAACGCGAAAAAACTAAATGGCCTATCGAATGATTGACTGTCACCGACCTTTTGGCCCTTGCTTCATGTGCTTTCTTCGAGGTTGGTGCAGTTTCAGCTTCTTGTTGCCCGCAGCGGCTGGCAGGTTTCGAGCCAGAAGGCCCAAAACAACTCTAGATATAGAAATATGTTGTTTTACGAGCGAAAACAATTCTTCTTTGGCATGTTCACAAATTGGTTTACTCCGCAAATTCAAGAGATTGAGAATCGCCCAAAGTTCAAATGACATTCGATTATTCATCAGAGGTAATATTATACACCCAACGATTATCGACGTATCACGTTTGTAATTGACTTTCAAATGCATGAGGATGTATTTTTATTCTTTTTCTCGATTTTTCGTACATCAAGAAGTCTGTTCGCATCATTGTCGTCAATAAACGTTGTCTATAGAATATAACATTTGAGGATGGACTGACGGTGATCTGAAATGTCTGAAAAATTGTCGGTATTTTCATTATGCAGATGGAATCCGTTTATGATTTTCCTTATGGAAAAAAATCAAGTGATTAATAACTTCAATTTGTGTCGCTGTCACTTTGTATTGAGCCATCTTTGTATTGCCCGAAAGGCATACCATGCATGCATGAGAAGGTACATCGATTGCAGATCAATTTATTACTATCATCGTCAGAAACTTTAGGCGAACAGCTTGCTCGTGCAGTGGTGCTAATGCCGACAAAACATCATCAATTATGACTGCATCAGAAGAGGTATTACGATGCAATCTTTCAGTAGCTAGGATACTGATCTTCTTCACACGTTCAAACCGGTGC